CATCAAATGATTTCTTGGAATGGGCCTGTGCCAGAATACTCGTCACTATGTGCTTGTGATGCCTGCTCTTGACTTTGTGCTGTCATCTCCATTGAGATGGGCACACCTTGTTCATTGATGTAGTATAGAATAATCAGAGTATTTTATAGCTCTTTCTATTGCTATCTAACACAAACAAACTCCAGTATGGTTATATCGTATATGACTGCTTGAGAATGAACAGTCATTTAAATGGTATTATTTTTCTTTTGTGTACACTATTTAGATACCCCCATGTGTTTTGACATTGAGTTTAAACAAGGTTGAGCAACTATTACTGCAAGTTTTATCATGTTTTATGCCTCTGTTGCACTTCCATGTCCGTGCTTTATACAAAGTCAGTAATTATTAGGTCGGTTTGCAAGTGGTTTAGTTTTAGAGATTATATCGATGGTGTGTTTAGCCCGGTCTCACTGCTAAAACCTGGCTCAAAATCCTGTTTAATTACTCTTTACTTAACTGGTTTAGTAGATGTAATTACATTCATTCATAATCTGATTTCTGCCAAGAATGCTACACTTTCAAGGCAAAGTGCTCGTTCACGTTTATTTTTATGGATTCTGCCGCTTTGAAGTTTTGTTTTGGTTTTGTTTGTTTTATTCCCTGAGGGAAGCCATGCCTAGTACGTTATGATATTTTAATGTTACCTACTTTATGAACACACTGCTTTCAGCAACGTCTGAAGCAGCTTTATTGTAATGTGTGTTAGTCAATTCTTTTAAATGCACTTTACCATGTCCTTGCCTTCTCAATTGTTAACGTGCCTTGATTTAGAACACTGGCCTTTTAACACCCAATGAAAAACACTGATATGGCTGGTACCTTTTAGACATGGGCACAAAAAGAGAGGAAGGTCCCTGCTTAACAGAGCTTACAGTCCGTTCAGATTCTGCAGAAAGTGCGGTGTGTTGTCTGCTCCAATAACTTTCCATAGGAAGCTCAAATAAAGGGGCAAAAAAATTAAAGTAGAGCGATGCCACCCTGTGCATTACTGACGATAACGTATGTGCAGGCACATTTATAAACCTGAATATTACCATTAACTGCCTGAGGGGGCTATAGCTCCTGTTTTCAACTTTTGTTCTTATTTTTAACTTTCCTCCTGTTTCTGTTACTTCCTGTCGGCCTGGGCACGGCAGCATTTCATCCATGGCTGCTTTCAAAAAGTCCCCTCACCAGAGCTTTTGTTCCTGGTCCTTTCCAATTTCGTTCTTTCGGCTAGTGATGCAAAGCAGCTTCTAGGAATCGCAAGCCGGCTCCGTACAGTTTCCTGAAGACTTGGCAGACTTAAGATGTCTTCTGTTCTTGCAGTGTCAGCCCTGACTGGGCACGCTTCGGCTGATGTAAATCTAATCCAGCTGATGTCTTGCATTGAATGTTGGAAAACAATGGCCTGTAATCCCCATGGTGTCCCATACAACTCCGCAGATGTCGTCCTCTTTTGATATGGCAGGCAACGAAGGAAGCTGCTTTTTCCTGAGGATAGAAAATATCCGTGTGTTGTGCAACTCGTATCATAAATCCTGACCTTTTTTTACACTCGTTAAAATAAAAACGTTCACGTTGCATTTACTTTCTTTAGTTCGATGGCAGTGCTGTTTTAAGTTTGAGGTTTTTAATCTAGGATCCCAACATGGCTCGGCTTGCTAGATCTTTGTAAAACATTATGTCTGTGCTTCTCTCATAGAATATAATGTGTGTGAGATTTTGTCTTCTAAACATTGCTAGATTTTCATCCAATCCTAGCTTTCCAATAGAATCTCGAATGTTGAAACTGCTTTACTGAGGGTTCCATTCAAAATTGTAGCTAAAGCTCCTTCACAAAAAGCTGAGAAGGTGGGGACATTTTATAGTGAGCCTACTCCATACTGGTATTTGAACAGGTGCTGGGGTGGGGATAAGCTTGTTCCTGTTGGTGAGAAAGGTGGTTTTATAAATGCAAACACTTTTCAGGAACACTGTAATCTGGAAGCTCCTTGCACAATAACATGTTCATTGAAAAAACATCACAGTCCTATTAGATTTAAAAGCAAATAAGTGAAACATTTTATCGTCCTTTAACTGCAGCTTTACCGAGAACATTGATCATAAGGTGAATAGTGAGTGCTGACACTGTCCATTTTCTGCCGTTTTGAACTTCAGATCCAAACTGGATTTTTTTATTTCATGTGCCTGTATCATCTTGCACTATTTCCTGTCATTTTGTTCCATGTATGTGCGCCTGCCAGTTCCCAAATTGTTTTGAAAGCAGCTGTGATGTCAACCCGGTTTGTGCAATAGAGGAGGAGCTGTCTGATTTCTAATAAAGAACAGCATAAGTTGGAATCTGACTATTTCTATAAAGAAGGGACATTAAGAAGGGTTGTATTTTAATTTATGTGCATGCAGTTACAACATATCAGGTGGGCTTTGGATTTTAACTCCTGTGTTTTTATGCCAAATGAAAATCCCAAAATATATT